AAATTAGAGTGAGGAAAAATAAGAAAATGAGGGAAATGAGAGTATGTTGCATTTTTGAGTGAGTGAGAGTGCAAATTACGTGCCTTTTGATAAGTGAACAAGGGTTGGAGTGTGAGCTAGCAAAGGGAGTTTGTGTTGACACAAAAAGTTTCATGCAACTTTGCTATTTCAAGATCACCTCTTTACCTCCTTATATCTCTCTCCACAATGCATAAAATGTGACAAACTTTGAATCAAAAATATAGAGGACACTTCATACTCCAACTTTCTTGTTTAAAATTTTTCAAAGTGAAGCTTGAATCAATGACATATTTGGCCATGAACATATGCTTACAAGTTGTTTGACAAAATGCTCTGCCTGCCTCGGCTTGCTGCGCGCGCGTGATGGCTGGTTGGGCAGAAAATTCAGCATGCATGGTGCCTACTTCTCACAATTATATCTCAAAATGTAGGAAGAATTTGGAGAAACTTTCTGAAGCAAAGTTGTTTCTCACATTTAGGGCTTCAACTTTGATGTTGGACATTTTTCAAAATAATTAATATTTCACATAGAAAAATGATGATGAATGCGCATCCACAACATGTTTGATGAAATGTCTTGCCTGTCTGGGCTTGCTGCGCGCGTGACTTGCATTGTGCTGGGCAAAAATTCAGTTTTCAGCTCAAAATCCTAATCACCATATCTTTCTCTATACTCAACCATTTGAGATGATTCTTGAATGAAAAATGAAGAGAAAACTTCAATCTACAACTTTCATGTTGCTAATTTTTTGATTTGAGTCCAAATTGTCATTCAAAAATAGACATGAAGAAGTCAAATTTTTGCGTTTTTAACTAAAATTTCACTAGGTGTCAAAATCTTCCAAGCTTCATAACTTTTTTTCCTTTCATTTTTTGGACTTGTGGCCATTCCTACAAAGTTGGAGAATTTTTTATCCTCTTTCTAGACATATAAAGTTTGCACATTTTCAATAAAAATTGAGAAAGTTGTAGCGAATCAAAATCAAGTATAGTGTATTTAATATTTTCATGTGACTAAAAAGCCCTTGAATGACAAAAATAAAATAAAAACCTGAAAGTATAAAAAATAACTCAATTTAAAATATTTTTTTTGAATAAAAAATAAAGACTTTAAAATGACTGAAAATGATAAAAAAACGGACAAAAATTTATCCGAAAAAATAAAATGAACACGTTAAAATAAACTACATGTCACAAAGATTAAATAAAAAATATTCAAAAAGTCAAAATCAGAATAAAATGATAATAAAAATATCAGGCTGAACAAACGTTTACAGTTAAAAACGAGACTTCAAACTGTACCATAAAAATGAAGCGAGCATACCGTTATAATCTACGTGAAACGCAGATTCATAAAATAATCGGTAAAAGGTGAAAACTTGAAATATTTTTCTCGCTAATTTTCCGTACAGTGTCGAATCACTTTTAACAGTCTGTCTATAAAACCAAAATATTTTTATTATCGACATATAAACAACTTGGAGCAATGCAAGAAAATAGTAAAGAGATAAAAATGCATTAAGTGAAATGTCAGGTATTTTTCAACTAAAGAATAATGCAAATGTCGATTTAAACTGACTTTTGGCCAATTTAAACACGATTAAATGATGCAAATGTGATGAACGGAGCTATTTACTAATGATTATAACCAAATGACAAAATATCATATGAAAGTGCGACTGAAAAAATTAGGGGCAAAATTTAGGGTACAACAATTACCCTTAGTTCAATGTTCAAAAATTATGAAGAAATTGGAATGGATAATTGATTATTCTAGTTTGCTTGCTGAAGGGTTAATAGATTAACCTTATGTGATAGTTCAAGTTTTCTTCAAATAGTGGCATGGTTAATTGATTAACATGACCTCCTTTGCAAAGAGATTAATCGATTAGCCTTTTGTGGACTTAGAGAATTTTAAAGTTTAATAGTGTCATTTCATGCTATTATTGAAAAGTGATGAAATAATGCATAGAATGATTTTTTGAATATTTTTATTAGAGCATCTAAGATTTATATCATCAAAACACATTATACATTAGCTTTATCATGATTAATTTCCAAATGTCATAACTTTATCAGGTCTTGAATCATATTTGTCAAGAGACTTGAAACTTATTCCATGAATCTTTTCCATCTTATGTATATTTTTCTTCACTAAAATATATTAATGAGAGACTTGTCTTCACAATTACAATGTTGGTGGTAATTCCTTTTTGTTTTACTGCTTTCTCAGTAACAATAGAGATAATGTCTACCTCCTCTGTTGTGTCCAAGGATGCCTAAGATTTTGAATCTAGTTACACTTCTGAACTAATCCTCCTTTTTTATTGGGGTGTGAGGTTTCTTCTTTAGAGGATGAAGACTGGGTTACTTTGGAGGCTTGCTCGCCGTCGAAGAGGGTGATCACGCTTGTCTCCTCTGACTCTCCTTCTCCATATTTCTACTTCTACATCCCTTTCAAAAAGGATATGAAAGTTCTTTTCCCCCTTTCTTCCTTTTCTATGGAGGTCCTAATAGTCCTTAATATGGTGCCCTCTCGGTTGTTCTATAATAGTTTGGACTACATCAGGGATTTCGATATGGTTTGTGAGGACCCAATCATCAAACTAATAGTATGAGTCTTTTTCTCCATCTACACCACTAAATCGATGAAGGGTAGTTAGGTGTCTCTGAGTGGTCAACATGGGAAAGACCTTTTCACATCTCATTCCAATCACCACAAATATTGGAAGAATAAGTTTGTTCGTGTGAGGGGGTCAAGGTGATTCTCTCGGGGTGTTGGGAACTAACGACAGCCCCTTTCTCCTTTGTCCTGGACGAGCGATCTTGTGGTGATCGTAGAGTATGAATGGGCGTTCCTCACCCTCGAAGAGAAAATGATTGTCCACTTTTTGTGGTAGTTCAACTTTATAGACTTTTACGAAGTAGTTAGACTTTGGTTGGGGGAGGGGGCGTAAAAAATCTTGTCTTCTATTTAGGTAAGTCGCCTAATGCTTTCCCTTTTTCAAGTTTTTTAGATAGTATCTGTAACCTCCATGTGTTGTTTTTGTAGATCAAATGAAGAAGATCTATATTGAGGAGAGGAGACAAAGATGGGAGAAACTTAAATATGTTTGCTCGGGCGCCAATAATCCCTAGAGCCACCCTGAGGGTTTCAACATTAAAGGGGTAGAAAAGGCCATCTGAGAAACCGGCTCCAAATCGCCTAACGTGAAGGCTCAAAGTTTGGAGGAAGCTTATTCTTTCACTATTGGAGAAGTGAGCACTTAGGTGCCCTACAGGAGGCGCGATAAAGCTGTGAAAAAGATGGAGGAGAAGCTCTGGGAGTGGGATAATGCTTATAATGAGAGCCAAAAGTTGTTGCAGTCTCTCCAAAAAGATGAGAAAATGGGAGGAAAAGATGGTAAATGTAAAATCCAAGGCCTAAGAAATCTCCGCTAAGGAGGAATCCCTGTAAAAAAATCCCTTAATGTTGCTCTCCTTCGCGAAAAGGATTTAGAGAAAGAGGTGTTAGAGCTCACCGAGAAGGCAGTGTCTACTTCTGGCGTCTATTTCGAACGCGTCATGGAACATGTCCTCTTCCTTTACCCTAATCTTGGTTTGAGCCCCGTGAACTTTCTCAAAGTCGTTGGTGGTGACAAATTGGTGGATGAAGAGGTAATAGTCTCTCTGAAGCTTAGGAATCCCGCCTCTGTCGAGACTGCTCAACGTGATTCCCTCAATTCAATTAGTTTCCTAATTATCATGATAAATTTACAAAAAAATACACACAATTTTCACTATGTAACCCATTTCACTCAACTACAACCCTCAATATCTATTTAGCAATTGTTGAAGGTTTTACCTACCATAAATTTCCCTAATCACTACAACTTATATTCTATGTTCAACATATTATCAATCGAATAATATGATCAAATTGCACAAGACATGATTAACACTCTTGTAGATTTTGGAGTTAACTTACTCATTGACCGATGAATAAAAATACATGAAAAGTAGTCGTTATTTAATGATAACTAGTTTCATAACTATAAAACAAAACTAAACAAATCAATAACCAAATAATTTTAGGATGAATTCATCTCAAAGGGCATAACCAAATAATTTTGGGATGAATTCATCTCAAAGGGCATAACCTAAGAAAACCTGACTATTCACAATGTCAACAATCATAACAATAAAGAAAGAATAAATTTAAACGATATTACAATCAACATACGTGACACTCAAAGGTGTGACACTTTTTTTCCAATAGCTTCCCATGCTGATTTCTTCATAAAATCGCACCACACCATGTATCATGCGCGCCACGTTTGATAACCTTTTGTATTTTTCTAAATTTTTCTTCAAATTTATTCCACCATAAAAATAATAATAATAAGGGGATTGAAATTTTAATTTAACCTTTCATTTTTATTGATATTTTATTAAAGTTTAAAATTTTAATTTTCTAAAATTGTATTTTATAAACATATATCAACTCTTTATTTTCTTATCCTATTCTACTAATTTTTATCCTGCTCATTCAAAATAAATTTTGTTAGTATTTTCATCGTTTCAAAAAATACACACAACTATTGATTTGGATAATCTATTGTATCTTAATTAGAAAATATAGTAACACAAATTTATTAAATAATAATATAAAATGTAAATATAAATTAAACGAGAAAAGCGTAAAATTGGATTAATAAGGGTGTACTAATAGAAACCATGGTGTAAATTGAAATCACATACATATTTTAGGATCAACATATGACAATTCTCATACTTCTGAAAACTCAAAATTGTCTTTAGAAGTTTTCAAAGATGGATCTCTGAACACATCTTACTTTAATTTTGGTAAAAATTGGTTCGGAGATGCATCTCTAATTTTTTTTAAGGTGAATTCAGAGATGTATCTCCGAAAACACCTTCATCCCATTTACTACACGTTTTTTTATTGAAATAGACATCGTTATCGGAGACTCTCCGTCGATTTTAATCAATATTAGATTTATATAAATTATATCCTCGCGCTTTGCCCCCCCACGTTCCTGCCTGGCCTTTACGCGATCCAACATAAAAAACTCGATTTTTTAGAAAGTCGACTCTAAATTGAAAATTTACCGTGTCATTTCTTCAGAAAAATGATGAGGGATTAGAATCCCTTATTCTATGACAAAATATGAGACACCACCCTAAAAACCCTATATTTCATGTTTTTCCTATTTTATTTGATTTATTTTCTGTTTTTATATTTTCAAAAAAAAAAATTCGAAAAAATTTATAGACTTTTAATTTGATATTTAGTTGTACATTCAAAATTTTTATATTTTTATTTTAATAATTTTTTATTTTTTAATTATTTTTCTCAATGGGAGCATTGCTGGTATATCAACTCTTATTTTTGTACTTCTTTGATCGACTATATCACATATTTCACTTCCTCTTATGTTGCTTATTTTCAATTTATATTCAACCAGTTAATCATTAGTTTTTAAACTATATTTAAAAAGGTAATGTTCTGGTCACAAGAACAAGGATATATTATTTAAGTAGCAGGACACATGAGTAATATATGAATTCCCATTGTACGTCAATTAAAATATTATTTATAAAGTTTGAATTTATTTTTTAATTGGTTAACATTTACATAGTTACGAACATAGGTTAATAATTTACATCAACTTTTAAACATTGATTTGTACTTATAATAAATCATATATTTGTTTCTCTAACTTCAATTATATAAAATAACGACATAAAAATTTAAAAGATAGACATTAAAATGAATCGTCTACAACTGGTATCATATAGATAAATTCATATCTATCTCTGAATCCAGATGAGTAAACAAATCCCAGTTAAATCTAAATGAGTTAATTTTAAAAATTTATTAAACCTATTTTAGATATTAACCCATTTAGCTCATTTTTTAAAACCTAAAATATATGACAACTCCCCGTCAAATTTCAATTTTAAAACTTTCTTATTATATCAAATTTATTTATTTTTACAACCTACAATGCATGACAAGTCCTTTGTAGATATGTTTGTGCAAATTCAACGTGAAGATTAAAATCAAACATATAACCTAATTTTCAATAACAATCTTCAAAATAAAAAAATCATATATAAGTTTATTGTAAAACTACAGAAAAGTAAATTCATTTTTCCAGTTGAATCTAGTTGAATCCAGATATTAGTCAATTTTTCTAAATCTAAAATTTATGACAGCTTCTCTCCAATATCAATTTTAAATCCTTCTTATTATATCATATTTACAATTTTTACAAACCTATGATATATGATAGTTTTCCGTCAAATTTCAGTTCTAAATGAATATATGCACTCCATGGTATCTTGAAATAAGTTATGTAGTTGAAATTAGTTAGAATAATGTGATATATGTGTTTATAGCATAGCATAAATCTTTCCCATTTATAAGTGTTTTAACATTAACTAAATTTTGAACATCATAGACTCTAACAACAACCTTGATTACAGAAATTTTTCCCAAAATTTCAACAGAATTTGTGTCACAACTCAAATTCAACTAAATCAAGAGAAACCTGATACAATTAAAGATCATAAAAAAATGTTTGCGGATATGATATGATTTTTAATTTTTTTAATATTGAAACAACATTATAATTATACATTTAATTACGAATATTTATGATTAGATATATTACACATAAATAACATATTTAAAAAATAAATATTTGTAACATTTTTTAAAACTGCACAAAAACAATCAAAAAATTTAAAATCTAAATAAGATCCCAAAAAATATACTTAAAAATACTTAATAGTGCAATATAATATAATAATATATATTAATAAGATTGCAAAAAAATATAGTACAATAATTTATTCTTTTATATTTACCTAAAATCTTTGAGGTTAATTAATATTATGTTCTTGAGAAAACAAACAGACATATGAGAGATTGCTCAAAAAGAAGAAAAAAAATTATTAAAAAAATACAAAATTATTACAATTTATTAAAAATCTTAAATTATTAAAAAAAATATATATATTAATAATATATTTATTATAATGAATTAAAATTATTATTACTTTTACTTTTTATGAAATAGCAAATATTCATAAAACTATATACATTTGAAATTAAATAAATATGTATCCTTTCAAATCTTTTCAACAAATCTTCATAAAATAATAATAGAATATTATTTTAAATTATCTATAAATTAATTATATTATATGAATTTAATTTTATATATTAATTCAGAATTGCATCTACAATAATAAATTATATAATAATTAATACAATATTTTTTATATAAATAAATAAATTTACTATAATAAATGAACTAAAAACTAGCTCACACATTTTAACTTAATACACATAAGATATAAAATATAAAATATAATAAAATATTTATAGAAAATATACAAAATTAAAAAACAATCTTTATTTATCATATATATACAATCCTTTCAAATCTTTTCAACAAATTTTCATAAAATAATAACATACTAAAATAGATTTTTTTTTTGGAATAACCAAGTATTAAAAAAAAATCACAAATAACCATGTTTCAGAAAAAAATTACGCAAATAACCATGTTTCAGAAGACTCCCCAAGGGAGGAGCCATCTCACTTGGCACCTACACCTACTTTTTAAGGGGAGGCGCCATCTCACTTGGCGCCTAGGTGCTTAGGACTTGCCCTAAGCCAAGTGAGATGGCGCCTTAGTGCATTTACTAGGGAAATTTTCGCATTTTTTTTCTCAAGTGGTGCGTTACATATTCGATATAGGACCAACAAATTTGACTTTTTATTTATAAAATATGATTACACACATAACTATTACATAAAAAACAGATTAATCAGTGGTCCCCCGGAACCCGGTAATGACCCCCGGTTCCGCATTCCCGTCCTCGCCTTTCCCGTGCTGAGTTTTGTCGCGTTTCCTACTGTGGCAGGGTCGATGGCCCAACGAAGTCAATGCGTTCCGGATCCATGAAATCAGTCAGATCTCCATATCTAGAAGATCCGCTTTGGTACAGTCGGTTACCCATACCCTAAAAGTTTGGTCGTGTTGGCGGTGGGTGGGGTTCCATGGTTGGTATGTAGCACTGATTGTCTGAGTACGGGGGATAGAAAGGAAATGGATCTTGGGGTGTTTGGTATTGAGGATGTTGGGTGGTTTGGTGATATTGTGATTGATGATAAGTTGGGTCGGTTGGTTCATAATCTTCGGACATTCCCAGATCAGGGCTAAGGTTGGATGTTGAGGGGCCCGTATTGGGATATGCAGAAGACTAAAATTGTGTGTGGGATATGCGGGTGTGTTGGTATTGTGATTGAAATTGCGGTTGGGTGTGAGGCATATGGGGGTATTGGTATTGAGGTGGTGATTATGGTTGGTTGTGGGGCATGTGGGTGTAATTGTATTGTAGTGGTGACTGTGGTTGGGTGTTTGTAGTTCTGTTTCGTCTGGGGGGTTGGTGGGAGGTTGATGTGTGTTGGGTTTGTTATTGGGGAAATGAGGGTTGTTCCCATTGTGTTCGTGGGTCAACCAAATACCTTGGATGAGACACGTGCATTTCAGGGGTACTAACCGATCTGTACCAAGATAAATATTGATCCGTGTGTCGCATATTACCATGGTTGAGAAAAACTGGGAATTGCAAGACATGTCAGTGACGTCTCTGCCACATCTTACACCATTCTGGAGCAAAGTCTTTCCAGTTGGTAAGACCCCATTGGGCGTCGACCCTTTTGAGATGTCACGGGGACAAACAAGTCGGATCGTTGGGTATCTCTTGATGCATTCTAGGCTAGGTGACAGCCTTGGAGAAGACAT